AAGAAATAATGGAAATCAAATTAATCCGTGCAAGACACCCAAAAGCATGAAAAAAAAATTTTTACCACATGAAATATACATTTTCCTACACACAAAGAGAAGGATACATGCACAATAGTAGAGTAGTACATGCACAATATATATTGTGCATGTACTACTCTACTAAATGAAGAATAAATGACACTTACCTTTATTGAAGATGCAGCAATGACTGACGAGACACTGTGTCCTGGGAGTGCCTTTTCCTCCTGAGTACTGTAGGTCCTGTTTGGTATTTTCTTCCAGAACAGGCCTTATCACACTGTGTATGTCACTACGATTCTTAAATCTCTCAAATCAACCTTTGCTGGCTCTAAATTCACCAATATGAGCACTAGTTCCAGGCATTTTTCCTGTTCACCTGGGTGTTAGTCGACTGGTGTGGGTTGCATCCTGGGAGACAAGATTAAGGACCCCAATGGAAATAAGTTAGACAGTCTTTGATGACACTGACTTTTTTGGGCTATCCTGGGTGGCAAATCCTCTGGGGTTAATTGTTTCTTGGTATTCTCAATAAGCCACACCAACAACGGTGCTACAGCAGCAGCAGCAGCTGATGGTGGTACAGCAGCAACAGACGATGCTACAGCAGCAGCAGACGATGCTACAGCAGCAACTGACGATGTTACAGCAGCAGCAGACGATGCTACAGCAGCAGCAGCAGCTGACGGTGGTACAGCAGCAACAGACGATGCTACAGCAGCAACAGACGATGCTACAGCAGCAGCAGACGGTACTACAGCAGCAGGAGCAGCTGACGGTGGTACAGCAGCAGCAGGTGACAGTGCAGCAGCAGCTGACAGTGCAGCAGCAGCTGATGGTGGTACAGCAGCAGCAGCAGCTGTACCACCAATAGTAGCGATGGTTGATTGGGGTTTATTATACAACCTGGCCAGCTCGGAGACACGCACTCCACTTTCATACTTATCAATGATCTTTTTCTTCATCTCCATAGTAATTCTCACCCTTATTGCTGTAGGGTTGGCACTAGAAGCTTTCTTGGGGCCCATGGTCACTTATTTTCCAGAAAAAATCACCAAAAACACTGTAATAATACGAAATGTTCCGATTGTATGCTTGGATGTTACCGCGGAGGCTGGCTGGTAAACAATGCCACCGGCGGAACATGTGAGCGTGGCTCAGGCCGCACATTGGACGCGTCTCGGACGAAGGGCGCTGAGCGGGTTTTTGGGCGGTATGCGAGGCAAAATTTTAGCGATCAAAGCGTCCGGTATGCGGATTGTCCGTTATGCAAGGCGTCCGGTATGCGGGGGTCCACTGTACTCAGTAAACTTATTCCTCTGTAATTTTTACAATCTCTCTTGTCCCCCTTCCCGTTATGTAAAGGGACTATTCATGCTCTCTGCCAATCCCTAGGCACCTTCCCCTCTTTCATACACTTATTAAACAAAAATACCAACAACTACAACCCTACATATCCCCCTGCTTTTAAAATTTCTGTCGTGATTCCATCAGTTCCAGCTGCTTTACCCCCTTTCATTCTACGTAATGCCTCATGCACCTCCCCCATACTCACATCCTGCTCTTCGTCACTCCTAAAAGATGGTATACCTCCTTGGCCAGTGCATGAAATTACCGCTTCCCTTTCTTCGTCGACATTTAAAAGTTCCTCAAAATATTCTTGCTATCTACCCAAAACCTCCATCTCCCCATCTACTAACTCCCCTACTCTGTTTTTAACTGACAAATGCATTTGTTCTCTAGGCTTTCTTAACTTGTTTAACTCTAGAATTTTTTCTTATTTTCATTAAAATTTCTTGACAGTGCCTCTCCCACTCTATCATCTGCTCTCCTTTTGCACTTTCTCACCACTCTCTTCACCTTTCTTTTACTCTCCATATACTCTACTCTTCTTATAACACATCTTCATTGTAAAAACCTCTCATAAGCTACATTTTTCTCTCTTATCACACCCTTTACTTCATCATTCCGTCAATCACTCCTCTTTCCTCCTGCACCCACCCTCTTATAACCACAAACTTCTGCCCCACATTCTATTACTGTATTTTTAAAACTATTCCATTCCTCTTCATCCTCCCCACTACTCATACTTGCACCAGCCCACCTTTCTGCCAATAGTTGCTTATATCTCACCTGAATTTCCTCCTCCCTTAGTTTATACTCCTTCACCTCTCTCTTGTTGCCATTTTCCTCTTGTCCCATCTACCTCTTACTCTAACTCTAGCTACAACTAAATAATGATCTGATATATCATTTGCCCCTATATAAACGTGTACATCCTGGAGCCTACCCATCAACCTTTTATCCACCAATACATAATTATTACATAAAAAGGGTTACTAGCCCATTGTTCCCACCCACATAGCTGTGTGTGAGGGTATTGAGACTTGGCTCCTGGCCCTGCCTAGACCTCTTTAATTAGCTTATTGAACCTTATCATATTTACTCGTGAATCTCTCTCTCTCTTCAGAGGAGCATCCCTGGTGCTGGTGAAAGACACTGTATGACCTCTTTAGGTTTATTGCTTCCCCCAGTAAATGACATGCCCATGCACTCTGACCCAGGCTGAGACTCGTGGAACTCTGTGTTCATCAAGAATTGCAAGAAGCCCCTATTGTGTGCCTTCAGCATTTTATGGAGAGGGAGCATGGACACGGGTCATCCCACACACACACACTAAAAACAACAGACATAGCCCCACTCCACAAAGGTGGCAGTAAAGCAATTGCAAAGAACTACCGACCGATAGCGCTAACATCCCATACCGTAAAAATCTTTGAGAGGGTTCTAAGAAGCAAGATCACCACCCACCTAGATACCCATCAGTTACACAACCCAGGGCAACACGGGTTTAGAGCAGGTCGCTCCTGCCTGTCCCAGCTACTGGACCACTATGACAAGGTCCTGGATGCTGTAGAGGATAAATAAAATACAGATGTAGTATACACAGACTTTGCAAAAGCTTCCGACAAGTGTGACCATGATGTAATAGCACACAAAATGCATGATAAAGGAATAATGGGAAAAGTTGGTTGATGGATCTACAACTTTCTGACAAATAGAACACAAAGAGTAATAGTAAACAGAGTAAAGTCCCAGGCAGCCACGGTAAATAGCTCTGTTCCACAAGGCACAGTATTCACTCCCATTCTATTCCTCATCCTCATTTCTGACATAGAGATGTAAACCATAGCTCTGTGTCTTCCTTTGTGGATGATACCCAGATTACCGCGGCAGTGACCTCCATCGAAGACACCGTGAGACTCCAGGCGGATATTGACCAAATCTTCGAATGGGCCACTCAAAACAGTATGAAGTTCAACGAGGAGAAATTTCAACTACTCAGATATGTGAAGGACATATGAATGATAATGTCAGAGGATCTCACTGTCAAAGACCATAACAATGACTGGAAAATGATAGGATGGATAATGAGAACCTTCAAAACTAGGGATGCCAAGCCCATGATGATTCTCTTCAAATCACTTGTGCTCTCTAGGCTGGAATACTGCTGTACACTTAACTGCCTCCTTCAAGGCTGGCAACATTGCAGACCTGGAGAGTGTACAAAAAACTTTCATGGCACACATAAGTACGATAAGGCACCTAAACTACTGGGAACGGTTGTAGGTCCTTGATCCATATTCCCTCGAATGCAGGCGAGAGAGATGCATGATAATATACACTTGGAAGGTCCTGGAGGGATTGGTACCAAATGTGCACACAAAAATCACTCCATATGAAAGCAGAAGACTTGGCAGGAGATGCAACATTCCCCCAAATGAAAGGCACGGGTGCCACGAGTACATTGAGAGACAATAAGTGTCCAGGGCCCAAGTCTGTTCAATTGCCACCCGGCATACATAAGGGGGATTACCAATAGACCCCTAGCTGTCTTCAAGAAGGCACTGGACAGGCACGTAAAGTCAGTACCTGACCAACCGGGCTGTGGTTTGTACATCAGCTTATATGCAGCCAGCAGTAACAGCCTGGTTGATCAGACCCTTATCCACCATGAGGCCTGGTCTCGGATCGGGCCGCGGGGGGTGTTGACCCCCGAAACCCTCTCCAGGTAAACTCCAGGTAATGTATTGAATCTGCCTTCGTCAGTGCCATATGCAAAATATTTCAATTTTCAAGCACCCTGAGACTAAAGCAATATACAGTGGACCCCCGGTTTACGATCAGCTCCCAATGCTACCAATTATGTAAGTGCGTTTGTATGTGTATGTTTGAGGGTCTGAAGTGGACTAATCTAATTCACAATATTCCTTATGGGAACAAATTCGGTCAGTACTGGCACCTGAACATACTTCTGGAATGAAATAATATCGTAAACCGGGGGTCCACTGCATTTGTTTACATTCCTATGGCTTATCTTTGTCTTCACCTTCCAGCCGTCCCATGCCCTTTGATCCTGGTCCTCTTAATTCAAGCAGTCTTTCCTATTTGCTCGCTCATTTTCACTTAAGATTTTGTATGTCGTAGTCATGTTTTCCATTGGCTGTTTCTTCACAAGGATCATCAGGTTCAGTTTCTTCAACCTCTTCATAAAGTGTTCCTCTTATTTCTGGAACTACATAGTTTGGTTGCAAAGCTTTGGACCTTTCCCAGGTTCTGCACATTCTTGACCGGGTGCCGGTGCTGGTGCCGTATTGGGGTAGCATACTCGGGGGAGGATGGTGTGTGTGTTTTGTATGTGTGTTTTATGTTTTTTTGTGTGTATGTGAATGTTTGTGAGGTGGGGGTTGTTTTTAAAAATGCAACAAAAGTTAGTGTAAGAATGGGAGATAGAAAGAGTGAGTTTATGAATATGCAGTAAGTACTTGTGAATTCATTTTAGCACTGTTGATAATGTTACAACCTAAAATTAAATATCGAGAAAATTGGTCATATGTTTCAGCTTTTATGTGAGCTTCATTCTTAATCTTAAAATGTTCAGCCCACATCTGATTGTTCACCTATATTTAATAACTCAGACACGGCAGCCAGTGTTTGTGCAGCTTCTCCATGCAGTGTACAGAGTGAGCCAAGCAGTCATGGGCCACCAGAGGGTTAATGTAGAGAACTGCATCAAGACACTTACAGAAGTTGGTTAGTAAATTCAAGTTTTGCTCATTCTTTTCCATCTTTAAAGGTAAATTGTAGGGTTTGTGTGGAGGAAAAATAATGTGTAATTATTTATGCATTTTCTTGATGTATTATATGCAAATAATAGTGAATGAAGTAAAATATTAATAAGACATTATACTTTACAGTGAAAATGAACCTCTGCTTTCAAGTTTTGAAACTATAGGTAAACTCCATGGAGGCAAAGAAGGGAATGTACAAGAGTATAGTGGTACCAACACTTACATGAGTGTGAAGCATAGGTTGTAAAAGCTGCAGCAAGGAGGAGGCTGCAGGCAGTGGAGATGTCCTGTCAAAGGGCAATGTGTAGTGTGAATATTATTCAGAGAATTCATAGTGTGGAAATTAGGAGGAGGTCTTGAGTTACTAAAAGTATTAGTCAGAGGACTGAAGAGGGGTTCTTGAGGTGGTTTAATCATTTAGAGAGGATGGAACAAAAGTAGAATGACTTGGAAGGAAGGTGGGCTATGGGTCATCCTAAGGAAGATTGGAGGAAGGGGGTAAAAAAAGTTTTGTGGGCAAAGGGCTTGGACTTCCAGCAAGCATGCGTTAACCCTTAAACTGTCCAAACGTAGATCTAAGTTCACCTGTGTGGCGCTCCGAATATTTTGAAAAATAAAAAAATTGTTTTTTGTTTTTAAATTAAAGAGGGCAATATTCTGTGTGGTATAAAACCAAAAAAAAATTTTAGGACCAGTACTTAGCAAGATACAAGACCACGAAGTTGTCTCTGGATGCTCACCTGATGGCAACATCAGTCCTGTCGCTTGCAGAAGTGTTGCTGATTTACCCGTTTTCCTCATTTTTATTTTAATTTATATAATTTCTATGTTCTGATAATTACAGTTTATAATAGTTCTTGTGATTTCATAGCCAATCTTTGTTCTGACACCAATATTATGTACTGAAATAGTACTCAAATTGTAACAATCACACTGACAGGTGAACATTTTCACCTCCCCTGGTCATTTACTATTGTCTAGAAATATATACAAAGTATTTATAGGTCCCAGCAATGTTTTAGACACTGGAATATGAAACTTCTTGAATAATGGTGTTATGACAAGGGTCGGATAAGTGACATTTGATGAACGTGCCCTGCTGGAGGGAATTTTGCCTTTATATGTTTTTACTCTTGCACACAAACATGTCTTTGTATGTCTGCCTGTCAGTCAATCTGTCTGCCTGTCTATCTGTACATCTATCTGTCTGCCTAGCTCTGCTTATCTGTCTGTCTAGTTCTGCTTTTCTGTCTGCCTGTGTCTGTCTTTCCATTTGCTTGTCTCTGTCTCAGGGAGCGGCTAGTAAACCTGTTGGTTTGTGGTGCATATGCCTCTCCCTGATTGCTGAGCAAGTGACACTGCTATTATTTGCATCATGTTTATTTATGTCTTATTTCTGCAAACTTCTACTTACACTTAAGTCACACAACACATACATGTACATGTTTATTTATTCACGCTCATCTAAGTTTTCTTTGATTTTATCTTAATAGTTCTTGGTCTTATTACTTTTCCTTTTATATCCATGGGGAAGTGGAATAAGAATCTTTCCTCCGTAAACCATGCGTGTTGTAAAAGTCAACTAAAATGCCAGGAACAATGGGCTAGTAACCCCTTTTCCTGTAATAATTACTAAAAAGAATAATAAGAAAATTGTCAAAGTGGGAAGTCTGAAGGTGCGTGGATGTAGTGCAAATGATAAGAAAGAAATGATTGTGGATGCTATGAATGAGAAGAAGCTGGAAGTTCTGGCTTTAAGTGAAACAAAGATGAAGGGGGTAGGAGAGTTTCAGTGGAGAGGAATAAATGGGATTAGGTCAGAGGTTTCAAATAGAGTTAGAGCTAAAGAAGGAGTAGCAATAATGTTGAAGGATAAGTTATGGCAGGAAAAGAGGGAATATAAAAATGTATTAATTCAAGGATTATGTGGAGTAAAATAAAGGTTGGATATGAAAAGTGGGTGATAGTAAGTGTATATGTACCTGGAGAAGAGAGAAGTGTATAGGAGAGAGAGAGATTTTGGGAAATGTTGAGTGAATGCATGGGGAGTTTTGAACCAAGTGTGAGAGTAATGGTGGTTGGGGATTTCAATGCTAAAATGGGCAAAAATGTTGTGGAGGGAGTAGTAGGTAAATTTGGGGTGCCAGGGGTAAATGAAAATGGGGAGTCTTTAATTGAGCTATCTGTAGAAAGAGGTTTAGTAATAAGTAATACATATTTTATGAAGAAGAGGATAAATAAATATACAAGGTATGATATAGCCCGTAATGAAAGTAGTTTGGTGGATAAAAGGTTGATGAGTAGGCTCCAGGATGTACACGTTTATAGAGGGGCAACTGACATATCGGATCATTATTTAGTTGTAGCTACAGTTAGAGTTAGAGGTAGATGGGAAAAGAGGAAAATGGCAACAACAAGTAAGAGGGAGGTGAGAGTGTATAAACTAAGGGAGGAGGAAAGTTCAGGTGAGATATAAACAACTATTGGCAGAAAGGTGGGCTTGTACTAGTATGAGCAATGGGGGGTTGAAGAGGGTTGGAATAGTTAAAAAAATGCAGTATTAGAATGTGGAGCAGAAGTTTGTGTTTATAGGAGGGTGGATGCAGGAGGAAAGAGGAGTGATTGGTGGAATGATGAAGTAAAGGTTGTGATAAAAGAAAAAAAGTTAGCTTATGAGAGGTTTTTACAAAGCAGAAGTATTATAAGAAGAGTAGAGTATATGGAGAGTAAAAGAAAGGTGAAGAGAGTGGTGAAAGAGTGCAAAAGGAGAGCAGATGATAGAGTGGGAGCGGCACTGTCAAGAAATTTTAATGAAAAGAAGACAAAATTTTGGAGTGAGTTAAACAGGTTAAGAAAGTATAGGGAACAAATGGATTTGTCATTTAAAAACAGAGTAGGGGAGTTAGTAGATGGGGAGAGGGAGGTTTTGGGTAGATGGTGAGAATATTTTGAGGAACTTTTAAATGTCGACAAAGAAAGGGAAGCGGTAATTCATGCACTGGACAGGGAGGTATACCATCTTTTAGGAGTGAAGAACATCAGGATGTGAGTGTGGGGGAGGTGAGGCACTACATAGAATGAAAGGGGGTAAAGCAGCTGGAACTGATGGGATCATGACAGAAATGTTAAAAGCAGGGGGGGATATAGTGTTGGAGTGGTTGGTATTTTTGTTTAATAAATGTATGAAAGAGGGGAAGGTACCTAGAGATTGGCAGAGAGCATGTATAGTCCCTTTATGTAAAGGGAAGGGGGACAAAAGAGATTGTAAAAATTATAGAGGAATAACTTTACTGAGTATACCAGGAAAAGTGTATGGTAGGGTTATAATTGAAAGAATTAGAGGTAAGACAGAATGTAGGATTGCGGATGAGCAAGAAGGTTTTAGAGTAGGTAGGGGATGTGTAGATCAAGTGTTTACATTGAAGCATATATGTGAACAGTATTTAGATAAAGGTATGGAAGTTTTTATTGCATTTATGGATTTAGAAAAGGCATATGATAGAGTGGACAGGGGAGCAATGTGGCTGATGTTGCATAGGTGGTAAGTTACTAAATGCTGTAAAGAGTTTTTATGAGGATAGTATTAAAAACCATTTGTCTCCATTCACTCCTATCAAACACGCTCATGCATACCTGCTCGAGGGGCTTGGACTTCCAGCAGGTATGCATGAGCGTGTTTGATAGGAGTGAATGGAGACAAATGGTTTTTAATACGTGACGTGCTGTTGGAGTGTGAGCAAAGTAACATTTATGAAGGGGTTCAGGGAAACCGGCAGGCCGGACTTGAGTCCTGGAGATGGGAAGTACAGTGCCTGCACTCTGAAGGAGGGGTGTTAATGTTGCAGTTTAAAAACTGTAGTGTAAAGCACCCTTCTGGCAAGACAGTGATGGAGTGAATGATGGTGAAAGTTTTTCTTTTTCAGGCCACCCTGCCTTGGTGGGAATCGGCCAGTGTGATAATAAATAAATAGTGAGGCTCAGGTTAGGGTGTGTAGAAGAGAGAGAGACTACTTCCTGGTAAAAGTAGGTCTTAGACAGGGATGTGTAATGTCACCATGGTTGTTTAATATATTTATAGATGGGGTTGTAAAAGAAGTAAATGCTAGGGTGTTCAGGAGAGTGGTGGGATTAAATTATGGGGAATCAAATACAAAATGGGAATTGACACAGTTACTTTTTGCTGATAATACTGTGCTTATGGGAGATACTAAAGAAAAATTGCAAAGGTTAGAGGATGAGTTTGGGAGTGTGTATAAAGGTAGAAATTTGAAAGTGAACATAGAGAAGAGTAAGGTGATGAGGGTATCAAATGATTTAGATAAAGAAAAATTGGATTTCAAATTGGGGAGGAGTATGGAAGAAGTGAATGTTTTCAGATACTTGGGAGTTGACGTGTCGGCGGATGGATTTATGAAGGATGAGGTTAATCATAGAATTGATGAGGGAAAAAAGGTGAGTGGTGCATTGACGTATATGTGGAATCAAAAAAATGTTACCTATGGAGGCAAAGAAGGGAATGTATGAAAGTATAGAAGGACCAACACTCTTATATGGGTGTGAAGCTTGGGTTGTGAATGCAGCAGCGAGGAGGCGGTTGGAGGCAGTGGAGATGTCCTGTCTAAGGGCAGTGTGCGGTGTACATATTATGCAGAAAATTCGGAGTGTGGAAATTAGGAGAAGGTGTGGAGTTAATAAAAGTATTAGTCAGAGGGCTGAAGAGGGGTTGTTAAGGTGGTTTGGTCATTTAGAGAGAATGGATCAAAGTAGAATGACATGGAGTGCATTTAAATCTGTAGGAGAAGGAAAGCAGGGTAGGGGTCGTCCTTGAAAAGGTTGGAAGGAAGGGGTAAGGGAGGCTTTGTGGGCGAGGGGGTTGGACTTCCAGCAGGCGTGCATGAGTGTGTTCGATAGGAGTGAATGGAGACGAATGGTATTTGGGACCTGACGATCTGTTGGAGTGTGAGCAGGGTAATATTTAGTGAAGGGATTCAGGGAAACCGGTTATTTTTATATAGCCGGACTTGATTCCAGGAAGTACAATGCCTGCACTTTAAAGGAGGGGTTTGGGATATTAGCAGTTTAGAGGGATATGTTGTGTATCTTTATACATATATGCTTCTAAGCTGTTGTGTTCTGAGCACCTCTGCAAAAACAGTGATTATGTGTGAGTGAGGTGAAAGTGTTGAATGATGAAAGTATTTTCTTTTTGGGGATTTTCTTTCTTTTTTGGGTCACCCTGCGTTGGTGGGAGACGGCCGACTTGTTGAAAAAAAAAATATATATATATATATATATTTATTTATTTATTTATTTTCAACTAGTCGGCCGTCTCCCACCGAGGCAGGGTGACCCAAAAAAGAAAGAAAATCCCCAAAAAGAAAATACTTTCATCATTCAACACTTTCACCTCACTCACACATAATCACTGTTTTTGCAGAGGTGCTCAGAATACAACAGTTTAGAAGCATATACATATAAAGATACACAACATATCCCTCCAAACTGGCAATATCCCAAACTCCTCCTTTAAAGTGCAGGCATTGTACTTCCCATTTCCAGGACTCAAGTCCGACTATATGAAAATAACCGGTTTCCCTGAATCCCTTCGCTAAATATTACCCTGCTCACACTCCAACAGATCGTCAGGTCCCAAGTACCATTCGTCTCCATTCACTCCTATCTAACACGCTCACGCACGCTTGCTGGAAGTCCAAGCCCCTCGCCCACAAAACCTCCTTTACCCCCTCTCTCCAACCCTTTCGAGGACGACCCCTACCTCGCCTTCCTTCCCCAATAGATTTATATGCTACTTTGATCCATTCTCTCTAAATGACCAAACCACCTCAACAACCCCTCTTCTGCCCTCTGACTAATACTTTTATTAACTCCACACCTTTTCCTAATTTCCACACTCCGAATTTTCTGCATAATATTTACACCACACATTGTCCTTAAACAGGACATCTCCACTGCCTCCAACTGTTTCCTCACTGCTGCATTTACCACCCAAGCTTCACACCCATATAAGAGTGTTGGTACTACTATACTTTCATACATTCCCTTCTTTGCCTCCATAGATAACGTTTTTTGACTCCACATATACCTCAATGCACCACTCACCTTTTTTCCCTCATCAATTCTATGATTAACTTCATCCTTCATAAATCCATCCGCCGACACGTCAACTCCCAAGTATCTGAAAACATTGACTTCTTCCATACTCCTCCTCCCCAATTTGATATCCAATTTTTCTTTATCTAAATCATTTGATACCCTCATCACCTTACTCTTTTCTATGTTCACTTTCAACTTTCTACCTTTGCACACATTCCCAAACTCATCCACTAACCTTTGCAATTTTTCTTTAGAATCTCCCATAAGCACAGTATCATCAGCAAAAAGTATCTCTGTTAATTCCCATTTTGAATTTGATTCCCCATAATTTAATCCCACCCCTCTCCTGAATACCCTAGCATTTACTTCTTTTACAACCCCATCTGTAAATATATTAAACAACCATGGTGACATTACACATCCCTGTCTAAGACCTACTTTTACCAGGAAGTAGTCTTCCTCTCTTCTGCACACCCTAACCTGAGCCTCACTATCCTCATAGAAACTCTTTACAGCATTTAGTAACTTAACCACCTATTCCATATACTTGCAACATCTGCCACATTGCTCCTCTATCCACTCTATCATATGCCTTTTCTAAATCCATAAATGCAATAAAAACTTCCCTACCTTTATCTAAATACTGTTCACATATAGGCTTCAATGTAAACTTTTGATCTACACATCCCCTACCCACTCTGAAACCTCCTTGCTCATCCGCAATCCTACATTCTGTCTTACCTCTAATTCTTTCAATTATAACCCTACCATACACTTTTCCTGGTATACTCAATAAACTTATTCCTCTATAATTTTTACAATCTCTTTTATCTCCTTTCCCTTTATATAAAGGGACTATACATGCTCTCCGCCAATCCCTAGGTACCTTCCCCTCTTTCATACATTTATTAAACAAAAGTACCAACCACTCCAGCACTATATCCCCCCCTGCTTTTAACATTTCTGTCATGATCCCATCAGTTCCAGCTGCTTTACCTCCTTTCATTCTACGTAATGCCTCACGTACCTCCCCCCCACACTTACATTCTGCTCTTCTTCACTCCTAAAAGATGGTATACCTCCCTGACCAGTGCATGAAATTACCACCTCCCTTTCTTCCTCAACATTTAAAAGTTCCTCAAAATATTCTCGCCATCTACCTAATACCTCCCTTTCCCCATCTACTAACTCCCCTACTCTGTTTTTAAGTGACAAATCCATACTTTTCCTAGGCTTTCTTAACTTGTTTAACTCACTCCAAAATTTTTTCTTATTTTCATTAAAATTTCTTGAGAGTGCCTCTCCCACTCTATCATCTGCTCTCCTTTTGCACTCTCTCACCACTCTCTTCACTTTCTTTTACTCTCCATATACTTTGCTTTTCTTATAACACTTCTGCTTTGTAAAAACCTCTCATAAGCTAACTTTTTCTCTTTTATCACATCCTTTACTTCATCATTCCACCAATCACTCCTCTTTCCATCTGCCCCCACCCTCCTATAACCACAAACTTCTGCCCCACATTCTAATACTGCATTTTTAAAACTATTCCAACCCTCTTCAACCCCCTCCACTACTCATCTTTGCACTAGCCCACCTTTCTGCCAACAGTCGCTTATATCTCCCCCGAACTTCCTCCTCCCTTAGTTTATACACTTTCACCTCCCTCTTACTTGTTGTTGCCACCTCTTTTCCCATCTACCTCTTACTCTAACTGTAGCTACAACTAAATAATGATCCGATATATCAGTTGCCCTTCTATAAACATGTACATCCTGGAGCCTACCCATCAACCTTTTATCCACCAATACATAATCTAACACACTACTTTCATTACGTGCTACATCATACGTTGTATATTTATTTACCCTCTTTTTCATAAAATATGTATTACTTATTACCAAATCTCTTTCTACACATAGCTCAAATAAAGGCTCCCCATTTACATTTACCCCTGGCACCCCAAATTTACCTACTACTCCCTCCATAACATTTTTACCCACTTTAGCATTGAAATCCCCAACCACCATTACTCTCACACTTGATTCAAAACTCCCCACGCATTCACTCAGCATTTCCCGAAATCTCTCTCTCTCTCTCTCTCTCTCTCTACACTTCTTTCTTCTCCAGGTGCATACACGCTTACTATAACCCACTTTTCACATCCAATCTTTATTTTACTCCACATAATCCTTGAATTAATACATTTATAGTCCCTCTTTTCCTGCCATAGCTTATCCTTCAACATATATATATATTTTTTTTTTCCTCCTCCTCTCTTTTTCTTCAGATGCATGAACATTATAACCCACTTTCTGCATCCAACCCTTATTTTAATCCCTATTATTCTTGACTTTATACATTTAAATTCCCTCCTTTCCTTCTGTAACTGATGTTTCAACATTATTGGTACTCCTTCCTTAGCTCTAACTCTCTTATATACTCCTGACCTAGTCCCATTTATTTCTCCTCACTGAAACTCCTACCTCCTCCAGATTTGTTTCACTTAGGGCCAGGACATCTGTCTTCTTTTCCTTCATAACTTTGACAGTCATCTCTTATTATCTGCACTACATCCTGCACATTCAAACATCCCAACTTTTTAAAGTTTTCATTATTCATTTTTTAGTAATTTATGCTTATGGAGGGGTTATTATCCCCTTGCTTCCCTCCCAGCATTTTAGTTGCTTTATATGGCACGCATAGCCTTCAGAGGATGTATTCTTTTTCCATTTCCCCATGGATATGAAAGGAAGTAAATAAAAACAAGAATCATTAAGAAAAAGAAAACTCAGATGGGTGTGTATAGATATGCATGGTATAAACCTTGGTAATAAATACCGACAAGTTGGTTTAGAAAGACACGTAAGCAAACACTATGACATATTTATTAGAAAACACCACCAACCCAGCAACACAGGAGTCACATGATTTCATCGTCTACCCGTCCTCATCATAGGCAGAGGTTGTTTTGATAAGGACCTGCCTTGCATGGGCCAGTAGGCCTTCTACAGTGTTCCTCCATTCTTATGTTCTTATGACATTCCTCAGGTCACGTGTGTCACACCTCACTCTCCGCCTATATATATAATGCCTTTCTATCTCTGTATGTTAGAAGTGATCAAGGTCCCAGGACCGAAACGTTTTCTAATAAATATGTCATAGTGTTTGCTTACATGTCTTTCTAAACCATAGATATGCATGTACATGTGTGTGTAGTGTGACCTAAGTGTAAGTAGAAGTAGCGAGATGTACATGTTGCTTGCGTGTTTATGAGACAAAGAAAAGCCACCAGCAATCCTTCCATTGTGTGAAATAATTACAGATTTCCATTTAGCACTCATTTGGCAGAATAGTAGTACAGTGGTACCATGAGTTTCGGCCATAATTTGTTCCAGAAGGCTGTTCGAGTGCCGTTACCAAACGAATTTGTTCCCATTAGGAATAATGTAAATTAGATTAGTCCATTTCAGTCCCCCAAAAATACACTTACAAAAGCATTTACAATAATAAACTTACGTAATTGTTTGAGTTGGGAGCTGTACGAAACTTGGGGTACCACTGTACTACCCTGGGTGGTTGCTGTCTGCCAACCTACTATGTACCATATTAGGTGGTACTACGTAATTTATTTGAATTTGACAGTACAGTATTTTCTTTTTTGGTTGCTATTTTTTTCAGCTCGCAAGCATAACATTTCCATACCAGTAGACTTGGAGGCCCAAGTTGTGAGCATGTCTCAGCGCACCACTAGTATCATGACACGAACAGCTTCTAAATGGAGCAATCGAGCCACTCGACGTGATACCTCATCAACATCGGTACGTGTGAAAATTAGTGTTTTTAATTTCTGTAATCTTTATTTTGCCATCATAATATAGTAAGGATAGGGGTATTACTGCAATTAGAAACTAAGAATTTAAAAATATTTACTGTCAGCTGAAACTGACAGAACAGTCCTGCAATTCCAACTTGCTGCTGTTGGATAAAATGTTTGTCAGTTCATCAGTTTTACAGAAAATGTAGTGAAAATGGCATAGTATCAGTCTCATATGGATGCAGTGTATGAATGATATCATTGTTCAGTATAAGCTATGGAAGCAAAAGAAGTTACAAAATTCCACTATTGGCTAAACCTACATTGCTGCATGCTCACTTTGCTGCTGTTGATTAAAATTGACAATGCTGGTAAAAGGGTAACTGTTGATTGTTGAAAATTAAGGTGATAAACTGTCAAGCTACAAGTGCTTAATTAGAAGAAAGGGTAGAGGACCTGGAAATGTCCTGTCTCAGGTCATTGTGTTGTGTAAATATTATACAGTGATTATGAAATGAATTTTAACCCTTAAACGGTCCAAACGTATACATACGTTCACGTGCATAGCGCCCCAAACGTATATACAGTATACGTTTTCTTTGTCATTCATTCAGCATTGCCATAATAAGCCTGAGTCACCTAGACATGAGAGAATGGGTGTGTGCACTCACTGTGTGCCATATTAAAATAATTGGGGATGCCTGGGTACCATATGCTCTTTTTTCCTTTTAAAAGAAAAGTTTTTTTTTTTCCTCAAAAAATTTGGGGCGCTACGCGAGTGAACGTATATATACGTTTGGACCGTTTAAGGGTTAATGTTTGTGTGATATGTAAGGTATAAGTAGACTGAAGAAGGGTTGTTGAATTTGGTTGGATCATTTAGAAATTAATTTGATTAAGAGGTCGTTTAAGTCTGGGAACCCTTCAAGGAGAGTGCCTCGATTATGGTGAAGATCTCTTTGATTCAAGTAATTGAAGATACCATCTTCCTTTATTTGAACCTGATTACTTCTTACTGTATGACCTGTATCAATTGATAAATGATGATGATTTTTGGGACGCATAGATGGCAGTATAGTGAAGGAACTTCTGCGGAAGGATTGGAAGAAAAGTGTGTAGGAGGTATTGAGAAGTAGGAACTTGAACATTTAACAGTAATATATGAGCATAAAAAGTGAACACAGTTTGATGCATCAAACATTATGAACTGCGCAGAATATGAAGAGTCTTATATAATGAACTGTACAGAACATTAGCGGTCTCATAAATTAAAAATTAAGTTAGGGAAAAAAGTATGTTTTATCACAATGGATATTATCAGTCTTACAAAAAGAAATGCCTTCCAAAATGTTGGTATTTCATTTTCTATTGTTTTTTTTATTCCAAGTTTCTTACTGTATACATATGTGTTTTTTAAATGAATTTCTATGTATAGTATCTTTAAAATAAATTTTTGTTTAATGATATTTAGTTTGTGCACTCAAGTGGACATGTCACAGTTTAAGGGTTTTCGGTAGTCACTAAAACTATAGTTTTATGATTGTCTCGTAAAGAGGCATTAAGTAAAACTGTATCTAGAAATATTTCTTTTGGTTATTTGTTGTCTCTCGAACACTTAGGAAATTTAATCACCATATTTTATGCAGTTTTATATTAACAGTTTTAAACAAAATTGAAATTAATGCTGTGGGATATTGTGGTTTTCCTTAGTGCTTAATCTGGCATTACATTTTATTATTTTAGTGATCTGAAAAAGTTTATTCCATAAGTTGAGCATAGTAGACTGATGTTCTTACATTTTCCTGTAGCTTTGCAATGACTTAATGTACGAAGAAGATGATGGAGATCAGGTGAGCTGAAAAGTAAAAGTGAAAAAATAATATGCTTTGTATTTGCCAAATTAGATGCTTTATATGGTGCAGGTCATGGAATAACTTTTATTCAGCTGTTCATGCGATTTTTCTTCTTAAATTTAAACTTAAGGATGAAAAGAATTAGCAGTTTTGTTATTTATACAGTAACTATCTCAGTAGGTACTGTACCTTGTGTAAATTATTACCTGTATTTTTGTAAGCTCAGTAATATATAAATTTGTAATTACATACAAACTTGTATAAATTCATTTTTATAACCCCATTGGATGTTACTAGGTAATAAGAACATGATAAATAACCTATATAATTAATATTCATCTCATAAAGGTTTGCTATGACTCAGTGATGCATCTGAGTAATCCTGATACCTACTGTTATAGTATGGTATATATAAAACCTCATATTTGGGTTATCTTCTCATGTTCTTGATCAGCATGATGCACCCCCACACACTGTTCTATTCATCGATCAACTGTGGTCTTAGTATCTTTTCTCTTGTACATTTTCTCTTGCTCCACGTACATCCTTCTTGACCATCTCATTCTCTTTTGGGTTTCTTTTATTATAGTGTTTCCTCATACTACCCTCTGTTCCTTTCTTTTAATGATGCTTAGTATAGTTAGTTCTTTTTGTTTGATTTAGCTGTCTTTGCCATGAGACAGTGGCACCTGTTTAACTCCCATTAGTTAAAACTCAGACTTTTGGTACTGGAAGGGAGGAGATACAGCTAAAAGACATGTCTTATTCATTAGTAGTTCCCTTGGTATATTATGTAATCTGTCATTTACCTTGTCAAATCTTCTCACACTGAAGTATTATGGAAAGGTGGGTTATATACATTGACCAACATTTTTTTTTTTTCAACAAACCGGCCGTATCCCACCAAGGCAGGGTGGCCCAAAAAGAAAAACGAAAGTTTATCTTTTTAAATTTAGTAATTTATACAGGAGAAGGGAATAGAAGAAAACCCAGAGGGGTGTGTATATACAGTGGACCCCCGCATAACGATCACTTCCGAATGCAACCAATTATGTAAGTGTATTTATGTAAGTGCGTTTGTACGTGTATGTTTGGGGATCTGAAATGGACTAATCTACTTCACAATATTCCTTATGGGAACAAATTCGGTCAGTACTGGCACCTGAACATACTTCTGGAGTGAAAAAATATCGTTAACCGGGGATCCACTGTATATATATGCTTGTACATGTATGTGTAGTGTGACCTAAGTGTAAGTAGAAGTAGCAAGATGTACCTGAAACCTTGCATGTTTATGAGACAGAAAAATGGACACCAGCAATCCTACCATCATGTAAAACAATTACAGGCTTTCGTTTTACACTCACTTGGCAGGACGGTAGTACCTCCCTGGGTGGTTGCTGTCTACAAACCTACTACCTACAATTGACCAACATATGTTTCTCATTTTTATTTTGGAGAACAAAAAGGAACACTGCCATGACTGGAACAATATTGTGTATAACCCACACAGAAAGAAACATATGATGACGTTTTGGTCATCATCCACTAAAATTTTAACATTATTGTGTTTTGGGTGTCTTTGCTTATTATGCATTATTTGACTTAACCAGCTTGATTTTATTTTTCTCTCGAAGACAAAGACATGTTCTTAAAATTTCCCAAGATTATGAGACTCTTAGACTTGAAATCCTGCCAAGTGTGATTGATTCTTTTAATAATGCCTATTTTTAAATTGTAATGAGCCATTGCCTCATGTCATACACTAGGTACTTTATCACCATTAAAATATTTAGTGTCTGCCCCTTAAATAATTAAGTGATATTTTAAAGATGGAGGCAGCATAGAATAGTTCAAATTGACATCATGTTTCTTTTATCTAACTGGGGGTAGCTTTTTCTTTATATAATGTTTTCAGTAGAAACCCTGTCCTTGAGAGAGTGGTCACATTCACTGTCTTACCCAGGCATTTGAAGTGCATTTTAATGTTAAACTAAGAAGTATCTACATCATTTGCCAAAAATGCCTCATGTGAATTTGGCTGTCATGAAAGTGATGATGTCACCATATGGCACAAATGAACCAGCATGGAGAAAATTAAACAAAAAATGAGAAAATTTCTGTATGCTTAAGGAACACAGAGACACAATACTGTGACTGAGAATGTTACAATACACAGATAACCCTCACATAGGAGACAGTAACTTTGTGACGATGTTTTGGTCCAAATGGACCATTAGCTAGTCACACTGTGACTAGTTAATATTATTGTATTGTTCTGTATATGTATTTCAGATTACTACTGAGGAACTCTTTGACACTATTTGTTTGCCCTAAGACAGTCACATGCCACTATCCTTTGATGTACCTTTGAGTAGTTCCAAGAGTTTTTCTACTCCCAGGCTCATCTGGTGCTTGCCTGATCAACCAGGATAGCTACTTCTTTCTGGCCTAAATTTATTTACAAGCCCTAAAAGTGTTACACATGGATTTTTATCCTCCATATCCTGATCAACCAGGATAGCTGCTTCTTTCTGGCCTAAATTTATTTACAAGCCCTAAAAGTGTTACACATGGATTTTTATCCTCCATATCAACTTTCAATTTCAGCTACACATCAAATCATAATTTTAATTTCATGCCTGTTTTTCTTGCTTCTGATAAGAAAGGGGTACAGTGTTATACTGTATTCAGCATACACAAGTTCTACATCCTCAAATTTTCCTATACATGAACTTTACTTTTACATCTTTACCCAAAGTTCATGAAACCAGTTTGACTAGGCACCTTACCTGACAAGGACACTACTATTATCTGGATATTTCTCAAAATTAGGCATTTATGCTTTGCTTCAAAATCATAGCTCCCTTCCAAAACTTCAGCAGTTCATGAGATTTCCTTCATGATTCTGCCTTGTATCTAACAGTGAGAGAAGCGGATCAGGGCCTGACTCTTACACTTATTGACACTAGACTCGCACTTCATCTCATGGAGGAGCACTCAGTTCCACTCTTCAAAGAATGTTTTTTCTGTCTACCCTCTTCTCTGATCTTTCCGTCTTTGCTGTAGATTCAGTATTTGAGTTCTTAACCTTTTAACTGTAACCAGCTTACTAGTACACAAGTGATGACAGTGTCTGACATATTGGTATACATAATTTTTTTGTGGCTCTAGAACCACCACCTGTCAATATATTTGACTTCAACACAACTGTTTGTATTCCCTACAACCTCTTCAGGCCTTTGAAAAAAAATAAGACCAGTCAGGGCCAAGTAGTGCTTCATGGTTAACACTACCTAACTAGCATAATTAAACAGTGAAATCAGAATTCATTGTTCCACTATCAGCTTCCCTACAATCAAACAGGTGTGAAACTGGCAGATGACAATTTATTCATTCCAGATTTATTACAATTTCATGATACTAACAGTAGAATTTAGCCATAAACCACACTTTGGAGATTTAACCTAGGATAACTCAATAAAATCAAACAATGTAACTTATTTCCATGTTTTGATGAGTATTACACCTTGAAACAATTGTAATATCATAAGTATTCATTGCAAATAATATTAGAGGCCCAGTGCAGGAAAAATAGAATAATTTTTTTTTTCACACTAGCCATCTCCTGCTGAGGCAGGGTAACCTGAAAAAGAAACTTTCGCCATCATTCACACTATCACTGTTTTGCCAGAGGTGTGCAGATATGACAGTTTAGATGTCCTTCCAAACAGCAGATATCCCAGACCCCTCCTTTAGAGTGCAGGCATTGTACTTCCCACCTTCAGGACTCAAGTTCAGCTAACCAGTTTCCATGAATCCCTTAAAATGTTACACTGCAAAACTTCATATTGCATGTTCCTAGTGGATGAATGTCGTGCTAAGGAGTTCCCAATGTTCAATGTACTAAAACACCTTGAAACAGATCTAATATAAAAAACTAATGCACATAGTGTTAAACATTGAAAACAATAAAAAAATGAAAAACAATCATAATTTTGCATTGATAAATTGTAAAATGTAAACATAGCTGGCCCTGTTGCACTGCTGTTGCTGATAAATGATCATATTTTTGCCAACTTCAGCACACCATAAAATCATGTAAGGATTTTTTTTTTTTTTTTAAATCTTGACATGCACTCAGTAAATTTAATTTCAGGGTATGCCACAGTTAAGGGGTTAACTGATTCTTTGACCCCACCTTCTCATTCAGTGTCCTTCCCTCTCCAAATTTACCTCTTCCTCCACCATCTCTTTAACCTCTGCCGTACAACACTGAGTTACCCTTGTGAGTTTAGGTCTTTCCATGAATATAATAATCTTATACTCATTCATCTCACCCTTCTCTGTGGTAGTTTGAGCATATAGATTTAGAATTCTTTACCTGCCACTTTGCTGACATTTCTTCAGTTGTTGAGTTATTACATGTACTTCTTGTTTTCCTCTTCTCACTGGCCTTTTATTATTCCATGGGCCCTGGAAAGAACATTCTCACAAATGAATAAATTATTGGCACCCCAATTGTACTAGGGTTGTTTGTCTAAAGCGCACTGCCATGATCTGCTCCAAGTATAATAGTACAACTGACTTCTTTCTTTCAACAAACCGGCCATATCCCACCAAAGCAGGGTAGCCCAAAAAGAAAAACGAAAGTTTCAGTCTTAAACTTTAGTAGTTTATAGAGGAGAAGGGCTTACTAGCCCCTTGCTCCCAGCATTTTAGTCACCTCTTACGACATGCATGGCTTACAGAAGAAGAATTCTGTTCCACTTTCCCATGGAGACGACTGATTTCTATCTAAATTTAAAGAGAGGAGAAGCATATGCATGTCACAGCGAGTGTGCAGCTCAATAATGAAAGTGGATTCATTTTAAAGAAAATTTATAATTCCTATGTTTCAGTTAAAAATAAAATGCATGTTTCCATTCTGTGTTATAATTAAAAAAATTAACATGTTTAATGATGGCTGAAATTTTTTGTGCATACCTTATGGATTG